TAAAAATTTTATCGGTTTACCGTCGGAAAATTTTGGAGAAACAAGTCCCGAATCAAAATTTGCCAAGATAAAGTTAGGTTAAAGCTATGTTAAGAATTAACTACTAAGGATTCTCTTCTCGTACTCGCACTGTTGTGATGTTATCCGTTTAGTTTTTCACAGGTTCTCCTTTCAAGCGCTCTGAACTCCAGTCAGAAGGTAAACATCATTGTCTACGGTTTTTAAATTGACTCTCCTAGAAAGTACATACCTATCAATGAAAGTGGAGATGATTAAGGTCGCACCGGCGATAAAGTTTATATGTTGATCCATCATAGTCCTTCTCATCTCCGCTTACAGACATACAGTTTTGTTCGAAACCTAAGCAACTGCTTTTGGCATTGTATACAAAGTTCTATATTTTTTATTTTAATTGATTTATTCAAAATTATATAATTGATAATAATAATATTATGTGTCTACATTATAATAACAACAACAAAAGTTTATTTTCATTTCGATGTGAGTTACAAGAAAATAATAACTGAATTAACTCCATAAATAGCTGTTCGAAACTTAAGCAACTTTTTGATCTTCTTATGAAAATCTTTGGTCCTTTTGAGTTCCAAACACCTTTATGAAATAGATTAGTTACTAGTGTAGTTCGTAATAAATCCCAATCGGATTTTAAGCCATTCGCCAGCTGTAATGTTTTCTAAAACTGCGAGTTTCGACCCAGCGCTTCAGAATGCCGAACAGCATCTCTAACGGGCTTGAGTCAGGAGATTTTGATGGACAATCAAAGAATTTGGGTCCCATTATACGATAACTACTCTTAGATCAACTTTGCCAAAGGTTTTGGTTCATTATCATGCTGAAAATCGCAATAAAGTAAGTTGTTTTGTTCGGTGTACTCAATCATATGATTCATTTTGTTGGCGAAAAACGTCCCAAAAGGAAAAACAATCCAACTTTGTTTGTGTTTCAACATCAGGACTAACTCTTTGATTGCTCATCAAAATTTCCTGACTCAAATCCCTTAGAGATGCTGTTCGGCGTTTTTAAGTGTTGCTTCGGAACTCGCCGTTTTAGAAAACATTGCAGGGGCGAATAGCTTAAAATCCGATTGGGATTCATTACGAACTACACTAGTAACTAATCTATTCCATAAAGGTGTTTGGAATTCAAAGGGACCAAAGATTTTCATAAGAAGATCAAAAAGTTGGTTAAGTTTCAAACAGCTATTTATGGAGTTAATTCAGTTAATACTTTTGTTGTTGTTATTATAATGTAGACACATAATATTATTATGATCAATTATATAATTTTTAATAAATCAATTAAAATAGAAAATATAGCACTTCGTATACAATGCCAAAAAAAGTTGCTTAGGTTTCGAACAATACTGTATATTCAATTCATTTATGGTCTAATTTAGTAGAGGAGATACCATTTTGTGGACCTAGACCACGTTTAACTTCTTGTGAGTGTATGGTACCTGGTGAACTTTATTTGTATTTACTGAATTATTAAAAATGGCAATATGCTAAACTATTTCCCTTCATCCATAGTTTCTGGCAATTCTGGCAACACTAAACTTATTCCGGCAACAAGAAGAAAATAAAGGAATAATAAATTACTTTTTTTTGCTTCCTTCATCTTCTCTGCACTTCTCCTCTAAAGATTTTTGCTAAAATAAAAAAGTATTTCTTTATTTTTTTTTGTTGAAATTCATCTATAAAAAGTAATAAAAAATACCCTCGAAAAAAGAAACAAGAAATTTATTTTCTCGCAGTGAAAATTTTTCATCATTTTATTTTATTTATTTTTATTTTATTTCTTTATTTTTGAAATTGTAGTGGTGGCGAAAAAACCAGATCAATTAACAAAAAATGAAAAAAAAAAAAAAAAATAGTAAAAAAAAGACGCAGTTGAAAAAAAGGGAGCAGCCGCCAGCATTTTTCGGTTAAATTTTATTTCTAGAGAAAATTCAGTTTTTCGTAGTTGTCGTTTTTTTATTATTTTTTTTTTTTGTTATTTTTCATATTAATAAATCAAGATAAAATAGTGGAAATTTAAAATTTAACACAAACGTTAAATAAAAGAGAAATGTTGATAAAATATCTGAGTATTGGGAACATGAACACAGAGATACATTTCGAACATACAATTTAATAATATAATGTTCATACATATATAGGTATCTATGTGTGTATATATTAAATACTTGTTCACTATATATTATTATTAATACACACACATTCAGACACTCTATACAATAATGAGGATTTATATATAAATTCTTCTTTTTTCATTTTATTTTATTTTAATATTGTAATTTATGATTTAAAGCATTGGCAACGTAAGATAAAAGGAATTTTTAAATAATGGCTTTATTTCGTTTTTTTTTTTTATTTAATTAATTAAAATATAAGAGGGAAATAATTATTTTAACCACACCCAAAGTTTTCAAAGAGGGATTTTGTTCGTTTTCAAATGAATTCAAATCGGTATATAGAGTTGAATTGTTGTTGTAATTTTTTTGTGAATTGGAGCGTTACCAACTGTTTTGTTTATAAATTAAGGGATCTTGTTCAATAGGTTTCTAACGAAACTATTGTTTCACTTCGAAATGTCACATTTAGCGTTTCATATCTACTTAAAACTAATAACTTTTCATGAAAACATTGCCCCATGCAAAACCTCAGGAAGTTTATTTTAATCAATATTGGAAAGTTAAGCTTTCAAACCTCTTTTTGTCGGTAAAAATTTTATAAATTTTACGAATGTTTTGATACTTACTGTAGTCTACTAAGTCTTTGGTAGGTTAGGTTTTATTCTCACTAAAGGTACTGGTGAAGTAGCGCACAATAGATTGATCAAAATAACTAACTAGTATACAAAAAACATATTCGTCTGTGTCAGTTGGATCTTATCGAATGAAAGCTCAAGCCCGGTACAAAATTTCCCAAGTTCAAGTCTAAGAAAGTTTGAGTTCTTTCTAAAAAATTTTAACCATTCAATTACGAAAGAGTTTGCTGAGACGTCAAACTGTAACTTTTTGGAGAACGCTTCGCTTTTGTCGACCTTGTGTGCTTGATCTCTTTAAATAGTGGAAATTTAGCTTTAGTTCCTCTTCCACTTAGTGGTGAAAATGTGCGTCTTCTTCTAATTGATTTAATGTTTAGTCTGCAAGGAGTGTCAGTTGAATCCTATCGAATGAAGACTAAATAACTAACTGGTATACAGAGAAACAACTTTGTCTGTGTCAGTTAAAATTTATCGAATCAAAGCTCAAGTTCTGGTACAAAATTTTCAGAGTTCAAGTCTAAGAAAGTTGAAGTTCTTTCTAAAAAATTGTATCCATTCAATTACGAAAGAGTTTGCTGAGACGTCAAACTGTTACTTTTTGGAGAATGCTTCGCCTTTGTGGACCTCGTGTGCTTGATCGCTTTAAATAGCTGAAATTTAGCTTTAGTTCCTCTTCCACTCAGTGGTAAAAATGTGAGTCTTCTTCCAATTGATTTAATGTTTAGTCTGCAAGGAGCGTCAATTGGATCTTATCGAATGAAGGCTAAAGTTCAGGATCAAAATTTTCCAAGTTCAAGTCTAAGAAAGTTTGAGTTTTGACTTTTTTTCAAATGCATCAAGTCCTATTGTACAAAGAAACGGTTTCGTCTGCGTCTCTCGAAATTGTCGGAAGAAGTCAAGTCTGGACATAAAATTTGCCATATACAAGTCGTATCACGTCGTTAAAGATTACACAGACCAACAAAATTTGAGAAGCGATGAATCCATGTCAAGTTTAAGGTCGAAGAAGAAAGAAAATAAAACATGTGTTAGACGACAAAACAAATGTTATAAATAAGGGGGTCTTCGCACTGTTATAATTCAAATTCAGCTTTTTGATCATTTAGATCTGGTCCAGTACTCGCTTGGGTTTCCATATCCAATATTCGTTGAATTCTGTTAAACCTCAGTTAACTTTCGTTTTTATGAGTCAGTTGAATGTTGTACGGGTACCGATCTGAATTATAGAATAGACTTTGGTCTAGAGTCTAGACTATATATTCTTCTTTATAGATTTTGAACTATAAACTAGACTTTAGTATGGACTATAAAATAGACTTTTAGAAAAATTCTGAATTCTAACAGAATGTTTACGCTCAAGAAACTACATGAATCAGTTACATCTTATAAAGGTGCCGTTATGGACTATAGATAATCTGGACTAAAGATTAGGCTGAACCATAGATTCGACTATTGTTCAGAATATAGATTAAAGAAAAGCCTGGTCTATGACTCAGTTGAGTAATGCACATGTGTTGGCCTGGACTATATACATATAAGCCTAAAGACAACTTCAATATTTTTGGCGTTCCTTTGTTTGACGGTTGTTGACTTGGGGCCTGACAAATCTGTCACTTCGTCGAATAGTTGTGAAATTGTTGTATGGATTCAGACGAATGTAGAGCATGCCATTGCCAGGATTGCATGAAATTTGTTCCCCATATATGTGGAAGGATTTAAGATGTTACATCATTCATTGGAAGGAATTCTAAGGAATTACGTCCAGGAAACTGAATTTCTGATGGGTTTTACCACCAACATTTTCCATAAAAAGGACAAGCTTGATAATGGCCTAGGACATCAAAGTTCAAATTGGAAATTTTGATAATTATAATAATGCTGATGATCAAAGGGGCGGACTTTACTAAACATTTGATAAAGTACATTACAAAATACAAATTTGAATAACAGAAATTTACACTTTTGTTAGACCTGAGTTATTTTATTAGATAAACCTGGAAAACACAGGCTTTTTTGTTTAAAATTCCCATAAAGTTTAAAAATAAAACGTTGGCATTATTATTATTTTTTTGTTATTATTAATTTAACCTCCATAACCTTAAACAAATTTAAATTTAAGTATTTTTATTATTATTATTATTGTTTTGTCATTGATTTTAATTAAATAAATACAAAAAAAGTTAAAATAAAATTTCTTTTCATTTTTACAGATTTATTAAATTAATGGATATAGACGCTACTCAACACGACTCGTACAAATAATAAAACAAATTACGCATATTATAAATAAATAAAATTGAAAATAAAAAAAGAAAGTAAAAGAAAAAAATTATGGTGAAATTTTTTTAAAAAACAAATAAATTAAATTAAAGAAAGAAACAGCTACAACAAAGTGCAATTTTACACACACACACACTGAAAGAAAAATAAGTTTAAAGTTATTAAAAAGTAAATTTATTTAAATTATATAGTAAAGAGAGCGAATAAATATAATTGTCATAAAAGTATTAAGGAAAAAAAGAAAAACAACAACAAAAATACTCAAGTATTTCTGAAAGAAAACTAATTTATGTGCCATAACAACAAAAATGTAAAAGAAATTAATTTATATATAAAAAAGAAAATTCCTAATTAATAAAACAAAAACATATTTATTATTCATATAGAACATTAATTACTTGCATCCTAACAATTAGAAAATAATTCAAAAAAAGCTTTAAAAATAACTTATAACAACAAAAACACAAAGACCTTAAAAAGAAAATTGAAGCAGAACGAAGTTAAAAAAAAAAATGCAAAATAAATAAACAAAACACCTTCCTTAACTTCCACTGTGTTTTGTTCTAACCAACGTGTTGAAAAACAATAACAAATAATAAAAAACAACAAGGATAAATACGAAAAAAAACAACTACAAACAAGTGAGAAAAAAACCAACAGCAACAACAAGAAACAAGTGAAAAACATACAAATTTGACAAAGTGTAAACATTGTATTCATAACAGTATTATTAACACGTAACCTACGTCACATCGTCATCATCAACAACAACAATATCATCAACAACAACAACAACATATACACCAACATCTTTACTGTTTGTAAACGAACACACAACAGAGAAGAGAAAAAAACGAGAGTATTTTTACCATCAGCCATCATCATCATCAGCATTATTATCATCATTGAGCAACAACAACAACGGCTACCATAAAAACAAAACAAGAACAAAAAGAACAATAACTACAACAGCAATAAACACCAGGAATAACTTTACAACCTCAAATAGCAACACATTACAACGTTACAGCCGAAGGAAGACCCCCCACTCTAATTCTTGTGAACAACATTTATACTCAATCCCCTACTTGACTTGAAGTTTTTATATTTTTTTTTGTTGTCTTCTTCTTCTTCTTTCGTCTTTTTTTATACATTCAACGCATTTTTTGCTTGCTGGCTGTGTGTACAACACATTTGTATGCAACACATTAAGTTGCCCCCTCATTGTTGTGTATTTGATTTCATTGCTGTTGTTTGTGTTACTCCATAATTCTCTTTTGATTCCCTCCTCTACTTCATCCAGTACTAACTAACTACTCTGCTGCTGGTTCTTCTCGTTTACAAGTTGTAAGAATAACAGCAACAACAACAACTGCTTGTGTGAATGTTTTTGAAAAAAGACATCAACACTCTGAGTGTGCTTGTGTGTTCACGAGGAAACTGACTCAACTGGCTGACAGCTTGGCTGCTACAAAAACAAAAAAAGGCAAAATAACAACAAAACCAACAACAAGTCAGGAATCATCATCATATAGACAAACCGAAACACACACACAGCAGACAGACAGACTCAACCAAACAAATCCAAACATTGGATAGGAAGACAAATAAAAAAAAAAAACGAAGAGAAAAAAATTACAACAACAAGGATAACAATTGCAAAACAAATAAGAACACAAGCAAAAAAAGAGCCAAAACAGAAGCAAAAAATCAAAACAAACTACACGCGGTTTGATTGTTTTTTTTTTTTATTTGTGGGCCACAATCAAACAATAACAAACCACCACCTGTAACCATTATTACAAGGACAACAACCTTAGCCAACACATAATTGATCAACATGTCCTGCATATCCTCAAATTTTAGTTCCTTCTTCCTTAACTCTCTTAATGATCCTTCGGAATTTTCGAAATATTTAAGCAATGGAGAACTGAGATTCTCCTCAACCTTCGAAGATTTCCAGGTCTATGGACAAACTAGTGTACCACAACAGCAGCAACAACACTATCAACAACAGCAACATCATCTCAATGGTGGAGCGGGAGTGCTGTGTAATGCCAATGGTGAAATTATCAGCAGTAATGGCGATGAAGGCAATTCAAATATTGAAAATACTCAACCCGTAATAACATCCGTACAACATTATGGCAGCTATCAAGGACATCATCAACAACAACAACCGCCACATATGCAACAGCAACATCTTCAACAGCAGCAGCAAACTAGATGGGCTTTGCCCGGCAACCAACAAAATCCTGCAGCGGCGGCCTCTGCTGCAACAACAGGTTCTCAACATTTTGATGGTTCTTTTGAGTTTATGAAATATTTACGCCACTCAAATGACTACAGTGACAATTCACATGATGCCAGCGGCCAACAGAATCAATCACAATCTTCCCATGCCATAGCGGTGGGTACAAAACCAGATGCTTCCTTAAATAATGGTCTTATGGATTTAGATAACGCACACAAACGTGCAGCAGCACGTAAAACTCCGCTCATGTCTTCCGTCAACAGCAACCATCATAATTCAGCGGCCAGCAATAGTTCCCATCCCACACCCATGGATATTTACGATCACGATTCAAAGCACAATATCTACGATTTACATCATATGAATTCGATGCATAGCTCCAATTCAAATGAATCTTCCATGGAACTGTCGTCCATGAACTATCCCAATTCTCACCTAAACGCCTCCAACTCGAATACATCATCAGAGGGTGGCAACACCCAGAATCACAGTGATTTCTCCATGTTAAGTGGTGTGGCCAATTCACAGAATTCTTCAACAGCTAATGCTGCATCAACAGCTGCTGCAGCAGCGGCGGCGGCGGCTGCCTCACCAGCTGCACCCAAGCCATTGGCTACATTTACCATCAAGGATAACTTTGAAGCTCATCCATCGCACAAGGTGGAGGAAGGCATTTTCCAGCATATGAACAAACTGCCGCCCAAAAAGAAAGAGAATCTCAAACAATTGGGTGTACGTTTTACCGGTCAAATGACACTCAATGATAAATCGATAATTGTGGAAAACTTTATTAAATTCTGTCATGTAAGTACCAACGCATATATGCATTTTTAAATTCCCTATATAACAAACATACATACATATGTACATACGTATGTATATATGTGGTCATATTTATTATAAAAATAAAAATACCGTAAGGTCTTTTACATAGAATTAAATAGGAGTGATGGCAGCGGCTAATGTCTATCTACCATTCACCATCCACATGATGTGATATTTATTTTTAATATATTCTCATATTTCCTTTATATACGTATACATACGTCCGCATCCACATACATACATTCATTTGAATGTATTCATGTGTATAGGACTACAAATTATTTATAATTCCCTAGCGTTTATTCATGCCCATGTCCTTCCTTCTCCTTTACTGACATCATATATTTTTGGCAATCGTAAATATTTGCGTATAATTTTAAATATTATACGCACTGATAACACAGGTTTTATATAATATTGAAGAGATTTGGAAAAAAAAAATTCCAAATCGTTTAGATTGCCATTGGACTCTTACTAAATAATGTAATAATAATGAAACAGCAAAAGTTCGTTAATTTCAAATAACAGATTCATAGTATGAAAATCATCCAGATAATCGCTCAGGTTCAAGCTAATTCAACTCACATATTCATTTTAATATGAACATCTAATTCACCTGAACACTGTGGGCTTTCGTCCACGTATAAATAATGAAGCATTAATCAGGAATTTAGAAGGTTTTATATAAAATTGCCATCTCTTTTTCAATAGTCGGTTTAATAACAATAACCTCTTTGCTCCAATATGATCTTCTTCTTCTGAATTCATTAAATATGTATATCGAACAGTTCCTTGATATCACACAGCTATTAGAAATGTTATCCACTCTCGTGAAAGCCCAATCATTAATAGGGTCAGCTTTGATATCGAGCATACATGATCAATAACATTCACCTCTTTTGATTAGAGCCAAAAAGTCAAAGTATGAGAAGTGTACACTAAGAAACTTCCAATATTCGTAAGCCAATCTTGACATCATGAAATATAATAAAAATCCGGATATTTCCAATGAAGAGAAGTAATAATCAATTATTACAAATCCCAGATCTAAAAGTCTGGCTACATCAATATATACATAAAGCCCGATTAGAGCTGCAGACTCAAGATTGTCGAGGACATATTAGCCTCGATATTGAGCATGTACTCAAGAAGGATCACCTAATATTATCAGGGAATGTTAAAATTATCCGTTACTTAGATTTTTAAGAAACCTCGGGCAATTGTAAACCAATCTTGATGAGATTTAATAACTGTAGAGTCGGGAGTAGTGTTTCGAACAGGGAATTGGCCTACCGTTTACAACTTCTATAGAAAGCATGGAAAGGTAGATTTAATTTATTAGTTATTTTTCATTGTGCGAGGAAGACTAGAGGGGGTAGTGTTTGTGGACATTCGATTTAAATTTTCTTATATCGAAGGTGGCAAGGAATACTTTGACAGGAAGTTTGTTACACATACGAATAGTGCTCCTAAAGAATGAATTTTCCCTGTAATGTTTCGTGCGGTCCACTGGCCAATCTATTACAAATGGGTGTGTAATTGATGAAAAATTTAAAAATATACAGGTATCGGGAACAAGTGTCCTAATTTCAGAGAACCACATTCCATTGTAATATCGATAGAACAGTGAAATACACCCGACATTGAGGCGGTGCTTTATTGAATCAATAGAGTAGTATAACCTACTATCACCGATAAATACTCTCCAATACGCAGTCGAGTAACTCCAAAGTAGACTTCTAGCTCTGGTCCATATATGAGAGTTATATTCCAATTTCGGTTGGATATAGGTGATGAAAATAGTAAGAAGATCAGATGGAGTGATGTATGTCGTAGTTCAGTGGACATCGTACTGCATTTCTAAGCCCAGAATACCAAAGGTTCTGATTCCTTACTATTTAAGTTTCCAATTGAATTGCCAATCCCTGCAAAAATTATTGCAGTACATGATACATTTAGGTAATCCCAAAACTACGCCCCTGTAAACATTATTGGAGTACATGATCCGTTTAGTAGTCTTATGTAATGCAGGCATGGATCATGTTTACTTTTTTTGAAAACAACATGGTCCATAGCCTGCATTACATGGAACCATGTTGTGGATCATGTACTCAAATAATTTTAGCAAAGGAGTAGTTTTGGGATTAGTGCGATGTAATGCATTTCTGAATTAGGACATCGCAATGTTAAATGGAACATCTTTTTTTCATATATTTGGATTATTTTTGGATCAGTGCAGATTCTTTGCGGAGTACTCTTTACACGCGTGTGCTAAGTAGTCTTAATTTTTGGACTTAGCCCAGCTAGCCTTTTCGTGAATTAAAATTGAACATTTCGTGAAATGTTGCGAAGTTCAGAGAGCAAAAAGGCGAAGATGGTGCAGTGGTTCGATTTTCCGAGAGGTGTAAGAACATCCACTTCATACTTGTCAGGATGTGAAATGAGAAAAAGGTCAAGGGTATTCTTTTGGTGCCTTTCAACAGGAAATATGTGTTGATCCATTCACTAATTGTGCTAGGTGGCTGAGTGCGGCGAATAACTCAACACATTGGTTATGTGAATGTCGAAGCCAAGAGGAGTTGTAAACATTGAAATCCGCAGCAACTACAATTTCACTATTCGGACAACTCTCAAGAATCTTCAGTATGGAATCGAAAAAGGCGTAGAAGTTTGTTAGTGTAGTAGGCTTTACCGCGCGTGGACTTCTATAAAGAAACTCAAAGTGCAAATAGCGTGTCCTGCTTTGAACTTAACCCATAGACAGCTGAATTCGGTATCATATATGGTTTAAACAGAATGAAATCGAATTCCATTAATAATGGAAGAACATTTGTTTCTTATAATATAGCAAATGACAATGTGTAGTATCCAACCGAACTGGTTCCATTCTTCATAATACAGCTATTGCAGTAAAATATGGAATTAGGAAACTTGACTTTACAGTCATCCCCTAAGTGTTAATTACAAAATATAAAATCTTAAATCTTGCTCTTAATGATCATGCTTAATGATCATGAACTGTTGAAAAAAATATCAATTCACCGAAAATGATCAGCTTACTGCAATTGTTATATTTTAGAAGAATTTAAGGGTGTTTTTTCTGAATATCTATTATTTTCAAAAGGACATGTGTGTGTTTTTCTATATAGAAACATCTGGATGGTTCTAAAAATAAATTGTATAACTGAATTTGGAACTATAAATGTAAAGGTTATTAATGATTAACAGATTTTTTTAAATTCTTTAAAATAAAATCAATTTTCAACACTGTTTGTTGCATAAGGCAGTCAAAATGAAATGTGTGTGTAGTAGTAGTCATTTCAGGGAAATTGCTGTTTTTCCTTTTAAGGAAATAATTTATTAAGAAAAAGCAGTCTGCCAAAGAAAATTAATTGCAAACTGGAAAAAAAAACAAATAAACTTTAATTTCAAATTTATGCAGATTCATTAATTAAAAATTCATTTTTAAGGGTAAATTTACAATGACACAGACAGCGTCACACCATCTCATCACTCCAAAGACACCAATGCTAATATTTCCTACTCTTTTCCTCTTGAAAAGAAGACATTTGTCAATGAGCAAGAGAAGACATGTAAGACATGTTGTTTCCCTCTTTAAAACCCCCCCCCCCTTGGCAATGTGTAGTTTAATTTTCTCTAACCCCCCCAACTATACAAATTAAGTACAACAGAAACGTACGAGTATGAATTCTAAATTCAGTCTTTGTTCTAACTAATATGATTTGTAATTAATTTCAGAGGATAAATACACAGAGATGGATACATGAATGAGTCTATTCAATCTTTAATGTTTTTGAATTTTAAATTTCAATTATGCTGCCTTTTCACACACACACTATCTCTTTCTTATAAAGTTATGGTTAGCTATTTCCCTTTCTCTCTCTCTCTCTCTCTCGTCCCCTCCTTAGGTACATTTGTTTATTAAATTTCATTTGTAAGGCTTTAATAAGTGTATTAGTATCCTTGGGGATAAGACTACTAAAACTTAGTATATCGATTTTTTTAGGTTCATTTTTACTAGAATTTCATCCTTATTTATGGGTTTGTATTTTTTTGCTTTTTTTTCTAAACCCACAAAATAAAACTTAATTAAATTTTCAACGTTGAAAATGAAAAATACAGAAGAGCATTATATATATACATATATATAAAAAAGCACGTCCATTAAATTCGATATTTTTACCAAGGGACATGATTGCTACCACCATTACCACTACCACTAACTATGACTACGACTACTGCTCTATTACTATTTTATCAGGGCATATGCACATACACATACATACATACATACGTACAAATAAATATAAATATGAGCTGAAGGTATTTCATTCGCATTCGTAGCAGTACATCTAAATGAGAAGCCTAAAATTTTTGTTCGCATAAATGGGTTTCACCATACAAAAACACACTCGATTCAATTCAAAATAAGCAAAAATGAAAATGGAAACGATATTTCTGTGGTACATGGAAAATAATTTACATGTTATATATATTGTACATATAATATAAAAACAAACATACACACGTGTATACACACACACTTATGCTTAAATTTGCATATATTATATTAACAAACACATACACACATATGCGTGCACATCTATACATTTTCTAATATTCATTTCTATATACTTATGAATTGTACAAAAAAAAAAACAAACATACAGATTCACATTAATAAATATATACATATTTACATGTATATATATAAAAACATACATACTTATATAATTTTAAAATTATAATCAAAGAGTAGAATGTTACAATGAAAGTACACAAACACACATGTTTTGCAACTCTCTATAGGAACAGTATTGGATCATACTATTGGCACATTGTATACTCACTTGGTTACGAGTAGTCAGTTAAACTATGTGTGATACTGATGTTTTATTAAAAACATTACTTGAAATAAAGAATTTTCCAATAAGATCTAAAATGCAACTCTCTATAGG